CGGAAGTAAGCTTTCCAATGGTGAAAGCCTTGCATCAAAATTATAACTATGCAAAAAGTTATTCCTGTTTTGGTGAAGCCGCTCAGTTTCAATCCTACCCGGATTCATGCCGAACTTCTCCCAAACTTGTTTTCTTCTCCCCTTTCCCATTTTCTTCAACTCCAAACCCCTAAAAAAGGTGCTTTGAAAGATTTTTCAAAGATTTCATCTCTCTTTCATTCATTTCCACTTTGTTCCTGCTCGGTTTACCGAAATGCGTGACATTTAACAAAATGCGAGCGTCGAAACATCGTAGAATCATCTTTTCAAAAATATTTTGAAAGAAAGGGTTTTAAAGTCTAAAAACCATTCAAAATAGTTTTAATCCATAAATGGGGTGTGGATTTGGGGTTTGACTCTCTCTTTCCTGAAGAAAATCGAACCCTTGTACTGCACAACTTTCACCACCAAGTAAACCATCAGTAGTGCCCAAGTCTTAAGGGCGGAAAAAAATATATATATAATCCCACCCACCACCACTAGCTACGCCACACCCACCGTCACCACTTTCCACCACCGTCTTTCGCCGCTACTTGCCACCACTTGTCATTTCTCACTATTTTTTATCTTTTTAAATTTTTTTAAATATTTTGTCAATTACCAAACGCGTTTGTAGTTTATATTTTTCTAAAAATAAACAAAAACCAGTTTATAAAATTTGTGTAAATATAAACTGAAAACGTAAACGTTACCAAATACATCCTTAATATTTGTTCCCTTTGGATTAATTCTAACTCAAAAACCATCACTAGTATAGTTAGGCTACATAGACACTCGAATATTTGAGAGTTGAAATCAGTAAGTGAAAAGAAGAAGAAAAGGAAAATGAAAGGGAAAAACATTTTTCATCATTTTTTTTTTATTTTTTATTTTTTTGTCTTTGATTGATGTGTATAATATGATATTTTGATTGTTGTGTATAATATGACATTTTGATTGTTTTAATTTTTTAGTTTCTTATATGAATTTTTGACTTTTTTAACCAAAAAGTTAGATGCCAAATAGGGCCATGGTATGAGAGCTTAGGATGAGAGTGGACTTCAAATGTCTGCATTACTATTTCGTATTCTATTCCCTTCTAGTTTCTTCTTTTCTGTTTAGTTGTATGCTCCGCTTTCTATTTGGTTCTTTTTATATATGGTGCCATTGACATTGGTGAATTAAAATTTTCAAGTGGACATGCAATAAAAGTTAAAAAATCATTATTAAAATTATAAATAAAAAAAAGATCCAATTTCCAAACACCCCCTTATTAAGCAAACAACATTTTATGTTTATATAAAAAATATTTATACTATAAAATATGAAATAAGAGCATTATTTGTTTAGGTACATACTAAGAAAAATATTAAACGAATATTTAGACCACACATTAAATATTTCTATGTATTTTTCTTGTTACGAATTCTATATATATAGTATTGCTGAACGGCTTAACATTGAGGACCACATGCATGTGTCTCCCCAAATGAGTTTGATTTGTTTCCTAATACATTCCTTAGAGTGTTGGTTTTTGAAGTACCTCATCTGAAAGTAATATGGTGATCACAACTTCATTTCTGATATGAAAGGTGCTTTATGCCACATCCTCTTAGAAAGACTAATTTGACAACTTATAATAATTTTTTAACACTAAGTTGGAGACTTTGAGAGAAACACTTGAATTTAAAAGATTTAGAATAAGTAGAATCAAAACAAAATACATGAAATGTAATGTTAGTAATAGTCACAATAGAAATAGAGGAGAAGTGAAGATTGAGAATTAAGAATTGTCTGAGAGTGAATATTTTTGTTATATATGATCGAAGATCACAACGGCTGTGGAGATTGGAGCAGATGTAGTCTATAAAATTAAGATGGGGTGACTTAAGTGAAGGAGTGCTTCTGGCATACTGTGCGATAAACGAGTATCCACTAAATTAAAAGGAAATTTCTATTGAATGACTATTAGATCAGCGATATTGTATGTAACAGAATATTGTGCAACTAAGAAACATGTAGATAAGATAAGTGTTATTGATATGAGGAAGCACTACAACAAAAAGCATTTTTGGCGATGTTTTTTAGCAACCAAATTGAATTTAGTTGCCAATTGTATGTTTTTGGCGACAATATACGTGTTGGTCGCCAAAAAATACACTATTAGCAACAAATATCTCAATTGGTCGCCAAAAATGGTTGGCGCTAATTTAATTTTTTGCGCGGGAGCGCTAAAAAAGTTTTGGCAACCAAATTAATATATGGCGACGAAACTGTTTGTCACCACTTGTGACTTTTTGGCGACGGAATTAAAATAGTCGCTGAAAGGTGAATAATATTTATGGCAACATAATGATTTTCGTCGCCAATAAATATCTTGTCAAAATGACGCCGTTTTGAGTCTGTTTTTTTTTTTTTTTAAATGACCTTTAGGTGAATAAACAAGATTGACCTAATAATATTCATCTCATTCCACAACCTGAAGCGGCACAACAGAAGACAAAGAGGTATGTTTTCTCTCCCTCTTCTTCGTCTTTCTTTCCTTTCCCTTTCCCTCTCCTTCTCCCTCTCACTCTCACTCTCACTCTTTCACACTGTCTCATCTTCCTCTCTTTCTTCTTTATCATCAATTTCATTCTCTTGTTCGGCATTGCAGAACACAGCACAACATTGATATTGGGACTGATTTTTCCCTTACTCTCTCACACTCTCTCATCTTTCTCTTTTTCTTCTTTGTCATTAATCTAATTTTTTGGACTGATATTCTGATTTTTCGGACTGATATTGTGATTTTCGGGACTGATATATTCTAATTTTTGGACTGATTTGGGAACTGATTTTCGGGACTGGTATATTTTGAATTTCGGACTGATTTTGGAACTGATTTTTGGATTTTGGGACTGATATTCTGATTTTGTATTTTTTGGGGACTAATATTATAATTTTGGAACTGATTTTGGGGCTGATATTTTGATTTTGGGACTGATTTTGGAACACAGGACAACACTTTGTTGTTTGTTTGTTGTTGTTGTTGTTCATTTCAAAGGCATGACAACACTTCGTTGTTCATTTTGATTTTGGGACCGATTTGGGTTCATTTTGATTTTGGGTTCATCTGGTTTAGGAGGGTATAGTAGTTTAAGGCTCTAAATCTGAATGCGTAGGAGGATAGAATTGGGAGATAAGTTATGTATTCTATTCTATTCTAGTCAGAGTTGAGTTTCCTTTTCCCATCATTTAACCTGAAATTGCTGTTAGAATGAGTGTAGTCTGTGTAAAAGCTTATCCTTCTGTTTTTATTTTTTTGAACTGAATATATATCAGTAAAGTTGTTGAACTGGTAGTATGATGTTAGTAAGTGGCTAAGCATTGAAGAATCCAAAAGTGCAACCAATAAGAAATGTGCAAGATAGAACTGAATAATTGTAGTGATTTCTAAAATTGTTTTTTTTTTTTTCTATGCAGATTTATTTACTTTTTATGAGGGCATACCATTGTTGCTCCAAAAAGTTTAGGAGCACAGAAAATTTTCACAAAATCAAACATAGATATCTGAGTTTG